ATCATCTTTGTAACAATGTAGCAAGACTGTATGAACTAACTATATTAAATGTGTAGTAATGTCATCTTTGTAACAATGTAGCAAGACTGTATGAACTAACTATATTAAATATGTAGTAATGTCATCTTTGTAACATTGTAGCCAGACTGTATATACTGTTACATCTATAGTAGTACCATGTTTGTAACAATGTAGCCAGACTATATAAAGTGTTACATCTATAGTGGTACCATCTTTGTAACAATGTTACCAGACTGTATGTACTGTTACATCTATAGTAGTACCATATTTGTAACAATGTAGCCAGCTTGTATAAACTGTTACATTTGTAGTAGTACCATATTTGTAACAATGTAGCCAGCTTGTATAAACTGTTACATCTATAATAGTACCATCTTTGTAACAATGTGGCCAGACTGTAAAAATATATATATATTGAAGAAGTTCTTAGAACAAATATTGAACAAAATTTAGATGAATTAAATTTTGTTAGTTTTGCTTTTAATCTCTATGTAACTACTTTACATCAGTGGTAAACGCTGTAGTATTTAACTCGAAGGTGAATGATTTTGTAAAATATAATTAAGTTGAAGCAATATAAAAGTAGATGCATAAAAGTTTACATCTCTTTAGTCAAACTCCTCTCTCTCTGTAAAATATTTAAAATTAGTCAAGATTACCGAGTATAAGTAATGTGTTCGTTAACCCTCACGTTAAGTAGGATCTGTATGGCTTTTGTTAATTGTCTCTTATCAATGTTCTCTCCAGGTGAAATACTACCCCTTTATGCTTTGAATATAATCTAAACTTTAGAACCACCATATCGTTTAAAACCGGTCATGTTCTCACAGATTGTTAAGTTAGATCTTATTCCCAGAACAATCCGTATATTCAGTAAACCAATGCAATTGTTTCTGACGTTTTTAAAGTACTTGCCAAATTGACTTTTGTAATTTATTTGAATAAATAAACATTTTCCACAAAAGTTTTAATTATTTTTACTAAAAACAAGACAAAACAATACTGCTCCCCAATGGCACAGCGAGATGTCTGCGGACTTAGAACGCTTGAAACTGTGCTTAACGTCAAACAAACTAAAAAATACTTGAGAAATCAGGTGAGAGATTCAAGTATAAACTTTGACAGAAATAATGAGTCATTAGGTAACACAGGCTTATTTTCTGACTAACGAGTTGTTCAGAAGCAAGCTAATTTTCTGACCAACGAGTTCTTGAGCAACACAGGCTAATTTTCTGACCAGCAATTCATTCGAAAACACAGGTCAATTTTCTGACCAACGAGTTCTTGAGCAACACAGACTAATTTTCTGACCAACGAGTCGTTGGGCAACAAAGGCTAATCTTCTGACCAGCAATTAGTTGATCAATAAAGGCTATTTTTCTGATCAATGAATCGTTGGGCAACACAGACTAATTCTCAGACTAGCAATTAGCTGAGCATCAATAATAAATTGCATAGTGTTTCGAAACTACTGAATGATCAGTGACGTTTATATTAACCCACTTCTTATTGGGATTCGTATGGAATATTTACAGAATGGTTTAAAAATTGGCAAGTCAAAATTTTGTTACGAACAACTGAAACAATTTAATTTGTGTCCAATATTGAGTCGGGTTAACATTTCGTCACTATTCGTTAGATATCGTACGAGGTGGTTTAACCTCTAATATCAGCCTTCTGACAGTTTGGTCTTTCTACTGTGAAATTTTGTTAAAGACAATAACAGTAGAAAACGACCCAGAAAGTTATTCTAAGACTGTGATATGATAATGAAAATGACACTAAAAAAAACCTTAATAAGCACTCTTAGGATATTGTTCACAAATCAATTGTTCTTGACATAGATAACAATAGTTTAAAACGTATCCGAGATTTGGAGTAGTATTAGTTTTGTATTACGTATAGTATACTTTCAGATTCCGTATTTTAAATCATCTAAATTTACTAATTTCTTATCATATATTATTTAAAATAAAATACTTATTTGTTTATAATAAAAAAAATACCATAAAAATTTTCACATCACGAAACCAAGACCACATTTATGGTAAATATTGAGTCAGTTTACAGGTTAGTTAAGAAAAACAACCCAACTTCTCCAGCTAAAGGAAAGAAGAATTAGATTTGTGAAGATAAATAAGTGTTCCAGATTCTCCTGTTTTCTAACAAACCACTAAACGAAATGACTGCAGCTTATTCGATTACTTGTTAGGACTAATTAAAATATGTTTTAGTCATGAATTATACAATCTTCCTTTCATTGAACAACGAGTCGAGTCGTTGGGCAACAGAAGATAATTTTCTGACCAATGAGTCACTAGGTAACACAGGCTAATTTTCTGACCTTTTCATAGCTTTCAAAGCTACTGTTTAACTCCTTTGTTAAGGTCAAAGTTGAATATGTATGGACTTAGTTATGTGACATCCTAACTAGTGCCTTGTTTTTCCTTTTTGCTACAGAATAAAATGTTGTTAAATTTAAGAACTTCCTGACCTCCTGTGTCCTTTTAAGGTAATTCTAATATCAGGGGTCACGCAGGCGTTTGTTGACCAGTTTTTCCTGCCAGAAGACAACGTGAGACTGAAGAGGACTCACGAATGTGTCGAAATTAGTTTGGGAGCCAGTTGATGAAATGTTTGTACATGAGAACAAGATTGTTATAGTGGGTCATGGAATTCTGTTGACAGCGTGAGTATACGTATACACAGTTTTAAGATACCGTCTCGATATGTAGTGCGAAATACGTATGTTTTTTCGAGGAAGAACTGTTAAAATATATTTGAAATTTAGTATTATTTTATTGAATGAAAATAATGATAATTTCTTTCAAGCACGTTATGTTTTTGTTTTCGTTTGTCATAGTTGAACTTTATCAAACTCAAGAAAATTTTCAGTCATCGGTTTTGAAAGTTTCTGTATTTAATGAGTACAATTTTCTGTACAAAAACTTGAAGAAAACACAAATATATGACACTTGAGAGGCAAAATCATGAACCTTGGGTCGACGGGAATGTAGGTTGAAAATCAGTGTAAAGGTGAGGTAGCGGGAGTCTGTGTCCTGACAGCTTTTGTTACTGTTGTTCCTGCCAGGTTGACTAGTCAGGCTCCTTATATGAGAACCAATACCGACAGGTGCTGTACACAGTGTAGTACCAGAGAAATTCAGAGCTGATGCTGATTATTCTCACTGTTTGCTGTTCATCAGTCTGACCAGGAGAGGATATCTAGATATCTAGATCCAGTAACTCACATAGCTTGTTGAACATGCCATTTTGTATCATCATGTCACCATCAAATCATCATATGAAGAAAAGTCCACGACTTTACACAATATCTAGATCCAGTAACTCGTATAGCTTGCCGAAGACGCCATTTTGTATCATCACGTCACCATATGAAGAAATGTCCACGACTTTACACAATATATATGAGAACAAGATCTGGAAAAACGCAACACCTTGTACAATATTTTGGCCACAGAACAACCACTTACAAATGTTTGATTGCTGAAGCATATCTTTCAACCTTCAAAGAACACCGCAGCTAATTGGAATTATGGGGGTTTATTAATACGTTAAAAAAAATTCCACCTTGAAAGTTTTGATCCAAAATAAGATTTTCAGTCCTTTTGTTTTCTTGAATGACCTCACATTTTTTACACCAATACACAAAACTTTATTTTTATTGCTTCTTTTAGTAAATGACATTCAACAGCGCACTCGAACATGAACTTGTATCGTTACTCAAAAGGATTTAATTTTTCCTTATCATAATCTATAACACTAAATTATACTGGGATTAACACGAATTGAGCCTCTGCTAGTAAACGTGTTTTACAGTTAGTAATGCATTGACAACTTCGTACAACTCGTACATAAATTCATTGACGTTTTAGTTCTCCTTACATTTCCTTTTTTGAATTCTCTTGGCTTTTTTTTTGTTGTTGTTGTTGTTTAAAACAGAATAAAGCATAACGGATGGATGAACATTCTGTGAAACTTGAATGGTTGGTTTTATTTGTTGTCATGGTAGCTTCGGGCAACATCTCTTTATTGACCAGTTGTGTCCTTTTTCATTCAGACCTACTCGTGGTTTAGGAGAGCCCTGGTGACCTCAGTAATAGCCAACAATGGGTTAACCTCGTGTTTTCCATAAGTTAACCCTCCATTCTCTAGTCTAACCAAGGGAAGCTGTAAAGAGTGACTTGTCGTCATTAAACTGAATAAGAATGGATTCTCAGTAAAAATCATTAGTAATTACTTCTGTCAGGTTATTAAAATAATCATGGTATTATTCTTAAATAAACAATTAAACTCCATTCCAAATTTTCTGGCCTAACCAAGTATTCGAAAAGTTTGAGATCATAAAGTTTGTAGTAATTTTAATTAAAATCACGTTTCTCAAAGAAATTGATATTTTAGAAACTCAAGAAAAAAAGTCTTACAAACATGAACTTGTGTCAATTAAACATCATCAATTGACTGTATTTATACCGGGAGCCAGTTGATGATAAGTACGTGTATTTTACTTGTGTCAATTAAACATCATCAATTGACTGTATTTATACCGGGAGCCAGTTGATGATAAGTACGTGTATTTTACTTGTGTCAATTAAACATCATCAATTGACTGTA